TATAAAAAATGTGTGTGTGTGTCCCACACACACACACACACACACACACACACACACACACACACACACACACACACACACACACACACACACACACACACACACACCACACACACACAAATGTTCAACCCATTATGGAAATCTTATTTTTGAGTAAAGCTTTAAATAGATTTTTTCTTTTAAAAGCTTTCTTTCTGTTGTAAAATGCAGTGTATTGACAGATGAGACCACCTGCACTGTGCTAAACTCCACTCTAACACAAATGTTCAACCAATTATAGAAACCTTATTTTGAAGAGTAACTTTAAATAGTTCTTTTTCTTTTAAAAATGCTCTTTCTGTTGTATTCTAGTGTATTGCCCGACGAGACCACCTGCACTGTGCTAAACTCCACTCTAACAAAGGATATCAATTGTTCATACAACTGTGGCTCTGACTGCTGGCGGAGCTCTAAGTACCCCTGTCTGCAGGTCTACGTCAGCCTGAATGCCACCGGCCGCATTGGGCTGCTCTCTCACAATGAGGAGATGCTGGACGTCAGTTCTGAGGTAAAACGTTCAACAAACTGAGGAAGATCAGAGTGAAATAACTTCTACTATAGGAAATAAAGTGATTCACAGTTGTTTCTTCTAGACAGCAATGAGATTAAATTGAGACAAATAGACTATTTTAAACAGTTAGAGTTAATAGAAACTCAAATATTTCACATAAAATTATCTGAAGACAGTTTCCAATGTATGCTGTCCAATTAATTTGAGCTAATCCCAAAACTAGACATTCAGAAATGCTCCCTGCCAGTCATTTTGCATGTTAAGATTTGCAGAAGCTGGATTGGCTGACATGCCTTTGGAGGGCGGGGTTGTAGAGTGATTGACGTTACTAAGTGGTGTAAGATAGAAAAATGGATAAAATCACAAACATATTCTTGAAAACTCCTGAGCTTTAAGCGGAAATAAAATTTTCATGATCAAGTGGAAGTTTGAAACAAAACAAAAACAAAACAGGATATTATTAATTGTCAATAAAAGTGTTCTGTTTGTTCTGACAAGGATGTTTGTGTATGAACTAAAATTTAAATGAACCTCCCACACTATACTGTTCAAAAGCTTGGGCCTAGCAAGATTTTTTTTGAGCCGCGGCCGGAGTTGTGCCGAATTCTGCACCCCTGCCAGATTATGCACCCCCTCGTTGAAGTCGCTACCTGATTGCCTAATCCCAACCCCACCCCTAATCCTAACCCCTCCCCCACACCTACTCCTAAACCTACCAATACTAGGGGGTGCATAATTTGGCAGGGTGCAAATTTCGGCACTACACCGGCACGCTTGACAGCAGGACGGTTCTCATACCGCGGGGAACAAACAGGCAGAACGAAGAAAACAAAAGACGGGAGAAGGAGCGCCGCTTACTGTTTACGGTCTGCTGTTCTGTCACACTCACACACTGGGAGCGCAGGAACGAGTGAGGAGACGAGGAATAAAGTAAATCAAAAAAGGTTTTAATGAAGGCATGCTGCGGCTCACAGGAGCGGAGACATCAGGCAAACCAAAATGACACTTAACAGCAGACAGAGAGCTAGGAACTGAGAACACTTTAAATACACAGACACCAATGGGACACACCTGGGAGCAAATGAACTAATTAATCAAAACACAGCTGGAGACGAATACACACAATGAGGACAGGAACAGGAAGGACTAAATAAGGACAAGGAAGGCACATGAGGAGCAAAACACACACAAAGCTAGGAACTGAGAACACTTTAAATACACAGACACCAATGGGACACACCTGGGAGCAAATGAACTAATTAATCAAAACACAGCTGGAGACGAATACACACAATGAGGACAGGAACAGGAAGGACTAAATAAGGACAAGGAAGGCACATGAGGAGCAAAACACACACAAAACACGGACCAGAGTCTGACAATCACAGAGTGCATTTATTTAATCAAAAATAATATTGTAATATATTATTACAGTTTAAAACAACTATTTTCTATTTTATTATATTGTTAAATTTAATTAATGTGATGTCAAATCTGAATTTTCAGCATCCATTACTTCAGTGTCACATGATCCTTCAGAAATGATTCTAATATACTGCTGTATATCTAATATTTGCTATTGTTTTGCTTAATATTTTTGTGGAAACTGTGATACCGTTTTCCAGTTTTCTCTGATGAATAGAGATGTTAAAAAGAACAAAATGTTATTTTGGAATCGAAATCTTTTTGTATCACTATAAATGTCTTGATTGTCACTTTTGATCAAATTAATGTGTCCTTGCTGAATAAATGTATTACTTTCTTTAAAAAAAAAAAAAAAAAAATGTAAGAATCAGAATCAGCTTTATTCGCCAAGTGTGCACAAACAAGGAATTTGTTGTGGTTTTTAAGAAGCTCTTGATACATACATGCGTACATACATACATATCTGACATGAGAACAGAAACATTTAAATACGACTTAACAATAAATAATAATGTGTATGAATCTGGAACAGAAGATTTATGTACACACTCTTAAAAATAAAGGTGCTTCACGATGCCATAGAAGAACCTTTTGGTCTAAATGGTTCCATAAAGAACCTTTAACATCTGAAGAACCTTTCTGTTTCCCAAAAGGTTCTTTGTGGCGAAATAAGGTTCTTCAGATTACAAAAACGCAAGAAAGAGATGGTTCTTTAAAGAACCTTTGACTGAATGGTTCTTTGTGGAACCAAAAATGGTTCTTCTATGGCATCGCTTGAAAAACCTTTTGAAGCACCTTTATTTTTAAGAGTGCAGATTTGTGCATTATTTACTCTATATATACAGCTGTATAAAAATATGCATATGTATTTATATAGTACTTGAGAGAGAGGCAATAATTAGTGATAGAGAATGAATTACAGAACACAGGTAATAATTCCTGTGTTAGCTGTTTAGGCTGGAGATGGCATGGGGGAAAACTGTTTTTATGCCTAGATGTTCTAGTGCACAGAGATCTGTAGCGTCTGCCTGAGGGGAGAAGTGCAAACAGGTTGTGTCCGGGGTGAGAGGGGTCTTTGATGATGTTACCTGCCCGTTTCTTCACTCTGGAGTTGTACAAGTCCTGAAGATTGGGCAGGTGCACACCAATGATCCTTTCTGCTGTCCTAACAATCCACTGCAGTCTTCTTAAATCTGATTTGCTGGCTGACCCAAACCAGACAGTTATAGAGGAGCACAGAACCGACTCAATAACAGCTGAGTAAAACTGTGTCATATGTGCCTGTGGCAGTACACATACCATTTTTGAAGGGTAGTGTAGATATTAAAATATATCCAAAAGTAGCAGATTTCTGTAACTAAAAAATGATTCTCTTTAAATACAAAATGAATACATAATATTAAATAAATAACTCGTGCATTTGTTTTCCCAGTGTTTTTATGTGCCAAAATGCCAGAAGGACCACATCGTCCTGCATGTTATGATCCAGAATATTTCAGAGCATCTGAGGATGCACCAGCAGGTGACATGTTACCACGACTCCAGCGAGCATCAGGGCAGCATCCTTCTGAACCGTCTGTATGGCAGCAGCACAGTCTTCCACTCTCTCTTCTGGCCCTCCTGCATGTTATCTGGAGGAACGCTCATCATACTCATGGTCAAGCTCACTCAATACCTTTCCATACTGTGTGAACAAATTGGCAAAACTGCAAAGTGAAAGAAGCTCAGTGATTGACAGACTTAGTGAATTGAATGGAGGAGCTTTCATTTCTCCTTCAAATGGTTTTCGGCTTCCTGTTGTTCAAGGATTGACTGGAAATTGATATGTTATTCTTCCATGACTAAGCTATATTGTAAGCACCAGCTCATATCTCATAAGTGCTGCTCTATTCCAGATGGAGTTAGTGCTGTTCGGAGAAGGGCATTATAATATAATATAATATAATAATTATCTGTAAGTACAGCTTTTTTTAAATACACTTTTAAGATTTGAAGTACACTACAAGTGCACATTTAGTATAGTTAAGCACTTCTTTTTTCTATTTTTTTCAAGAACATACAAGTTGGAATAACATGAGAGTGAGTAAATGAAGACAATTTCATTTTTGGGTGAACTATCCCATCACTTAATTTGATATAAAGTTAAATATAAAACAGTGGTGTACAGGAAATAGACACTATGACGGACTGTCAGTTAGACTGCTATTGTTATATTTGGAATAACTCAAGGCTAAATACTTTTGTATCTCATACTAGTGTCACAACTGGACAATTAGCTTTAATTAAACAGAAGACTAAGGCAGTGGATGTGATCTCCATACGTACCGCATGTGTCATCGCTGCGCACCCTGCAGGGTGATGTTAACAGGAACACTGAAAGATCCCCGAGGGGACTGATTCAACAGCATTTCTATCTTACTAAGTAACCCTTAACTGGGTTACAGCACTAAATTAACATAACACTGACCCCACTTTGACAAGGTCAATGTACTATACATCCAGGCATAGAACCAGCATGCTGCATAGCCGTCTGACCTGTAGTGCACAACAGAGTGCACTTAAGGGATTGTTTTCTTCTCATCCAGATGAGATCAGCGGAATATCTTTCCTTTGCCTGAACAGGGATGCTACAGAGGGTTTCTATAGGAACCCCTGCAGCCAGACCATAATTACGTCCTATGGGATTCTATGCACTCCTGATAGTTTGTTTTTTCTTATTCAATTTTTTACATGTACAAAACAATGAAGTAAATGAACAAAGAACTGCATAAAAAAATAAACTATTATGTAAAAGTGTCCAAATCCCAGCCCTTTCTGCAGAAACTCATGGAATTATCTTTACTTTACTGTGACACAGAGTCTAAAATGATGTAAGTTCCAAATCTTACCTCAAAACATGCGTTCTTCTGTGCATGATAGCTTTATGTCGCTATTAAACTAGACTATGTTTTGAATATGGATATTTTTCTTACAAAAATGCATCGATTCACTACAGAAGGCCTTTGTTCACCCCCCGGAGCCGTGTGAGACACTTTTTTTTTTTATGGATGGGCACTTTTTATTTAAGTTCTTTTGGACTGAAGCAATGCAACTCTCGCTGAGTGGCATTAAACAGCTTGAAAGATCAAAGACAATTTTTAATATAACTCCAACTGGATTCGTCTGAAAGAAGAAAGTCATATACACCTAAGATGTCTCGGGGTGAGTAAAACGCAGCCTAACTTTCATTTGTGGGTGAACTAACTCTTTAAGGATCAATGTATTTAGGGGTCCATGGCATCAAAGAGTCATTTAGGTGGCTGCAAGGGTGCTGCTATATAGGTGTTCTGACTTGTCTTTTCTGAAAAAAGTGAAATAAATATATAGTTCAGTCATGAAACTCTAGATGGCGCAGGCTGACGGTTGTTAATGTAACTGATGATATTCAGAGAGTTAAATGACTTGGCACAAGCTGATTGGTGCATGCTGCATATGCAGCCAATGAGCTTACTGCCTTGCATTTATATATATATATATATATATATATATATACAGATTCCTGCAGTGCACTTTCAGAGTTTCTCTGAAACCCAGATTCAGATTCTCTGAAACTACAGATTCCTGCAGTGCACTTTCAGAGTTTCTCTGAAACCCTCCACCTTCCCCAGCTCCACCTGTATAGATCTGCTATGGGTTATTTTATATGCTATTTGTGCAGCAGCAGTGTGTCTTAAATACATTTAATGAATAATCATGAATAAAAAGAATTCCCATTGATGTTAATATATTATTGTTGAAACCAGCCAGGTAATTTCCAGTTCACAAAAAGCTAGATGAGTAAATATTGAAATAGGGTGACCATATGTCCTGGCCAGGATTTTTGAATTCCCTAAAACATCCGGAATTAGGCTTTGGTTTATTATTGACACGCTCTATAGCCCTCATACATGATATGTTTGTGTATTTGCATGGTTTTGACCATACTCTGTAGATCCCACTGTGACGAGTGGGGGCGGGGCCGAGAGCCGTGGGAACGGAGCGAGGCCCCGCCCCCACTCGTCACACCCACCTTCTCGTGTACCACAATTGCTCGATTATGTACAGTGCTTGCATGCTATTGGTCAAACAACTTTTCAGTCATTACCCTAAAAAAGTATGAAAACAAAGCCCAAAGCTGGACATTTTAGGAAATTTAGAAATGTGGAGAATGAGGATGTATGGTCACCCTAATTGAAATCAAGTGCTATTTTTGATTAAGATGGGAAAAGGATGTAGAAGAATGTATGTTGTGCTGTTTGGGTTTTACCTTTGTTGTGAAGAGCGGAGCTTGTGCAGATTGAGTGTGTGTTGTTTTGGGAATTATTGTTGAAATCTCAGCATGACCAGTCTTCTTCCTTGTACTTCCTTTTAATGCTACACATTACATTTGACAAAAAATATATTCAGAATGATACTTTGACATTTCTAATTGTAAGGCATTTGAGTTCATTTGCATTCAAAGTTTTGGAAATCCTATCCAAGTCTGAATTAGATTTATTACATTTATTTTAATATCAAGGCAAGAAACAAGTATATTGAAAACACATGTGAGCACTGTGCATTAGAAAAAAAAAACTGCACTGTACTGAAAAAAGGAATGGTCACACTTGACAGTATGGAATAAGAAACTTTGCTGTTTTTGGGGAATAATTCAGAAACTTCTCAGACAGATAAATATTTTTCAAAAATAGCGGAGTCATTTTTAATGCCTTTTTCTCCCCATGAGGGCAGTCTGTCTAAGGGTGTTGAAAAGAGTTTGCACCTCGGTGGTGCTAAACAACGAAACATAATTGGAAATCACACTGTCTCTGAGAGATTTCTCAAGCCTCTGAGATAAGCCTCCTCCATAACAACAGATGCCGTCCAATTGTTCTTAAGTTATTACACAGAGCCTTGGAGCTCATCATTATAACAACAAATTGTCTGTATGGCATTATAGCTTGTTGAAATAGTCAATCCTCGCTTGTTTTCAGTCAAATTCTTGTCAGTAGAGAAATCATGGCTTCTTTTTTTACATGTATTATTTCTTCTTCTAAAGACAGTTACTAACATGTTGGTAAACTTATGAAATCTTGTCCAAAAATGTAACGTGCTTTGTTCTCTTGGTTTATCAACATCAGCAGCTTGTGCTGCAATTTAGACTATATTTGTATTAGTTCCAGTAGATAAAAACATCTAATTGGATTATCATTACCTAAATTCTCTCTTTAACAAGGTTATCCATCAAATGCAGTTTAATTACCTCAAAAGCAAACACTAAGAGGGCTGACTTCCAGCAACGTGATCAGAATGGTTAGCGTCCGCTAGCCGGTGTGTAACAGCGGAGACGTGAATGACACAACTAACTCAATGTTTTATGGATGAATTCCTCTAGGCTCCTAGGGAATATCTGTCTAAGCACAGCTCCTCAAGGACTGAATTAGTCTTTTGATCTACTAATTGATTTGGAAAGCTAAGAAAAAGAAACACTGGAGTTTTCAACTAGCAAGCATGTAAGAAATAAATCACTTTTGGCTGCTGGCTGTAAGAAGCTGTGGGGAAAATGCAATTCTTTTCACCTGTTTTTCAAACTTGGTGTATGGATACTTCACATCCTTATTCATTATGATGAATATTCAGAGTTTGTCATAATGATGTATGAATGTAATTTCCAGCGTTCAATTTGGAAATGTTGTGTATTTGAGTTATGTACTGTTCACTAACTATTTTTGGAATAACAAAACTCATTCTGGCCTTACTCCTAAAGGAATAATTCACCCAAAAATGAAAATTTGCTGAAAATGTACTCACCCTCAGGCCATCCAAGATGTAGATGAGTTTCTTCATCAAAACAGATATGGAGAAATTTAACATTGCATCACTTGCTCACCAATGGATCCTCTCCAGTGAATGGGTGCCGTCAGAATAAGAGTCCAAACAGCTGATAAAAACATCACTCCGATGAAGAAACAAACTCATCTACATCTTGGATGGCCTCAGGGGGAGTTCATGTTCAGAATTTTTTTCTTTTTGGACGAAATTTCCATTTCTACTATGAACTATTCAAGATACTACTATTTCCATGTAATAACTCTCAATGTGCACAGGTCCATATTGAACAATATTAATCATTTTACCGGGCAGAAATTTGCATGCAAGCGATGGCATATTGAAATGTGGATGGATGGAGCAGGTGAGTGTGTGATGATGACACAAAGCCCTAAGAGAACCAGATGTGATTAATGAGGACTGAACACAACCCACACCAATCTTACACACCACACAGGCCAGAAAACTGGGTCAGACTCAGAACAAATGTTCATATAATACTGGTTTGGAACAGAAGTTGAGTAGAATACTTAAAGGGACATTTCACTGAAAATTATTATTCTTTCATCATACTCACCCTCATGTCATTTAATACGGTAAGAATTCATTCTAAAACATAAGGAGTGCTTAGCTTGTCTGTAAGTTCTGTGTAAAACTGCTCTATTTTTGCATTTTCGCTGTAAAGCTGCTTTGGTTTTCTCTGTAAAGCTGCTTTGATTACTGTGTAAAGCTGCTTTGGAGCAATATATTGTGTAAAGCAAAATGCAGACCAAATGAAGTAAATTAACCCTTGTGTTAAAATCCTAATTTGGTGTTCCTGATCAAAAATGACCAGACTTTTTCACGTAAATCTTTATGCCGTATTATGACCAAATATTGGTTTGAGTCTTTTGTCAACATGTTTTCTTTCAATTAGCACATGTTTGTATTTCCTTTTAGAACTGATTGTTCATGGGCCTCATTGATCTGAGCTTATGCACCTCAGTTTTAGAGTGAAAAATAAAACCACTATTTGTGGA